TAAATATACCTGTCTGTATGTATGTAAGCGTGAATATCTAACCGAAACAACTGATCCTCGAAACCCAAAGAAAACTTCGCAGATAAAACCAGAGCACAAACTACAGAGTAATAACAGATCGGTGTAGGTATCAGATATCCCTGACACCAGGACACACGTACTGAAACTGACCTGTAAAATTTTTAGCCCAGTTTTATTTATGTTTCCTCTCTGTAAAAACGCCTATTGTTCGATCATTGTATACGCATAACGTTTCATTTGATCAGCGTTTATGTGTATTCAGTTTTTGTTAGAAGCGTACTCGCTGATTTATACAAATAAGTGGTCTTACCTGACGTAACCTCACTCTCGTTAATAAACGTCTCAAATATCTCCGAGCAAATGTTAAAAAAAGGAAAACATTTTCTCTTTTCCCTGATTGACAGCTTTTTCTTCAACCTTATATTAGTTTGTTTTTTCATACTAGGGGTTTATAGGCTAAGCAGAATGGACAATCGAAGAGCGCGGGGATATCTCCAACGGACATTTAATTAGTGTTGTCCCTCATTTTGAGCTCAATTTCCGCGCCGAGAGTCTCCTGTATACATCTTCACAGTATTCGCATATGTAAAGTACAGCTGGTGCCGCATGTCCGCCTTCCAGCAACACAGCTTAGCTCCAATACTCTTATAATGAGATTCGCTGTCGTTGTGGGAAGTCGATAAGGTCCGCATTTGAAACAAGAACTATTTCCACACAGGAGGGATTTTGTTTTTCTTATTACACACACAAGTAAGGTTTGTTATCCTTCCATCTAAAGTAAAGCCACAGATGAACACCAGGCGGAGATTGCTTTACGTCGTATTCTCCGACTCTCATATTCTTTTTTTCTCGAGGAAATATTTCGTCCCTATTGTAATGATTACATAAAACTAATAATGTCATTGATACTCAGTCTCCACCACAAAACTAATAATGTCATTGATACTCGGTCTCCACCACAAAACTAATAATGTCATTGACACTCGGTCTCCACCACAAAACTAATAATGCCATTGATACTCGGTCTCCACCACAAAAACTAATAATGTCATTAATACTCAGTCTCCACCACAAAACTAATAATGTCATTGATACTCAATCTCCACCTCAAAACTAATAATGTCATTGATACTCAGTCTTCACCACAAAACTAATAATGTCATTGATACTCAATCTCCACCACAAAACTAATAATGTCATTGATACTCAGTCTCCACCACAAAACTAATAATGTCATTGATACTCAGTCTCCACCACAAAACTAATAAGGTCATTGATACTCAGTCTCCACTTAAATGAATTGTTTCCTTTTATCCCTTCAGTTTATTAATTAATCCTTCTAAAAAACGTTAATTATTGATTTATTTTCTCTTTAACGCGAATCAGTGGAGATCGAATTGACGAACAAACGGTAGAATGTACCACTTTTCAAACAATCGGCTTTTTGGACATCTCTTGACGACACTGTAGGATATTACTGAAGCTGGTTTCTATACATAATAGCTTGCACGTGTTTTGAACACCAACAAATCTTCTGAATCTACATTTATTTCCTGACGAAGTTGTTAAAAAAGACCAGAATGACTGTATACTTCAAGTCTCAGTCTTGACGTATCGTGCTGTTTGTTGATTTTCTATTTCACTGCTAAATATATTTACAATATATTTAGTTGTCCAAACACACCTACTCTTGTGAATGACTTCAAAACCACGAGCAAAATGCACGAGTTTTTCTTCCGTTCAATGGGTTGTTGTTCTTGTTATTTTAGCTACAGAGAGGCTATCTACGCTCTGTCCACCGCGGGAAACCGAACTCGGGAATTTAGCTTTGTAAATGAACTAGCGGTAAAAGAGCGACGACAGCCACTAAGAACCGTATACTAGCTGTCTTTCTTCTAGTCTGTACTTGTTTATGTCTGTGTGAACTTCCGAAACAATTCTATATTAACATTTACAACCCAACAATTGCCTTTAAGAGACAGTAAAGACCTTTTTTATTTTCTCTCTAGTTACTTCGTCATGGCCAGGTAGTTCTGAGGATCGCAGGTTCGAATCCCCGCCCCACCAAACATGCTCGCTCTTTCAGCCATGAGGGCATTATAATGTGACGGTCAATCCCACTATTCGTTGATAAAAGAGTAGCCCAACAGTTGGCGGTGGGTGGTGATGACTAGCTGCCTTCCCTCTAGTCTTTCACTGATAAATTAGGGACGGATAGCGCAGATAGCCCTCGTGTATCTTTGGGCGAAATTCAAACTAAAATAAACTCTAGTTACATATTTTTCCTAATAATTCGGTACTTTTGGCTTTGTTTTATCAATATTTTTTGAGGTTAGCTAACTTAATCATATTAGAGACCACACACACATATTACCTGAGATTCGTTTGTTTCGGTCGGTAAGATATCTCTAACACATTTTGCATACTTTTCATTCATTCTTCTGATTTAGTGTGTTCTTATCTCACAATAGAGCAAGTGTTGTAAACCATATTCTGCTGCTTTACAGCTAAAAGTAGCTTAGGCTTATCTTCGAAACACGCTCGTCAATCGAGTGTTCAACATTAAAAAGACTGTTCCTAAATAACAAATGACAAATTATTGTAAACGTACAAAACTAAAAGTAAAAACTGTAACACTAAAATCCAAATTGGTTAGATTTGAATAGTTTATTACACTTCCGGAAAGTCGTGTTAAACAGTAAAGTAAAAACTACTTAGATTTGAACAGTTTATTACACTTCCGGAAAGTCGTGATGTAACAGTAAAGTAAAAACTGCTTAGATTTGAATAGTTTATTACACTTCCGGAGAGTGGTGTTGTAACAGTACAGTAAAAACTGCTTAGATTTGAACAGTTTATTACACTTCCGGAAAGTCGTGTTGTAACAGTAAAGTAAAAACTGCTTAGATTTGAACAGTTTATTACACTTCCGGAGAGTGGTGTTGTAACAGTAAAGTAAAAACTACTTAGATTTGAACAGTTTATTACACTTCCGGAAAGTCGTGATGTAACAGTGCAGTAAAAACTGCTTAGATTTGAACAGTTTATTACACTTCCGGAGAGTGGTGTTGTAACAGTGCAGTAAAAACTGCTTAGATTTGAATAGTTTATTACACTTCCGGAGAGTGGTATTGTAACAGTGCAGTAAAAACTGCTTAGATTTGAACAGTTTATTACACTTCCGGAAAGTCGTGATGTAACAGTGCAGTAAAAACTGCTTAGATTTGAATAGTTTATTACACTTCCGGAAAGTCGTATTGTAATGGTGAAGTTTAAACTGATTAGTATTAATAATTTTACAGTTTATTGTTTGTTTGTTTTAAATTTCGCGCAAAGCTACACGAGGGCTTTCTGCGCTAGCCGTCCCTAATTTAGAGGGAAGGCAGCTAATCATCACCACCCACCGCCAACTCATGGGCAACTCTTTTACCAACGAATAGTGGGATTGACCGTCACATTATAAAGCCCCCACGGCTGAAAGGGCGTGCATGTTTGGTGGGATGGGGATTCGAACCCGCGACCCTCAGATTGCGAGTCGAGCGCCCCCTAACCACCTGGCCATGCCAGGATACAGTTTATTAACACATAAGATATTTTATATTTATAAGAAATTTGACAAAGGTAAATATAGTTGTTGAAATGCTGCTATAATCTATATATATATATAATAAAGTAAAGGTGTGACGATACAGCGATACGATTGTATCGATACATCGTCCAATACGATATGATTTATGGATCTTCACCAAACTTGGCAAGCTTTCAGTAAACATTATAAGTCTGTTGTACAGGAAAAAAATCATAATTTCTAGTGAAGTATTTTTGTTAAAAATTAATGATTCAATAAAGATGAGTATTGAGTACTACACGTTGTCTTCATTTTTATAAATAAAAAACATTACATGCAAAGTAACATAACAAAATAGATAGACTGACATTAACTTCTATATATTTAACTTCTCTTGCCAGCTGCCACTTAACTGATCAAACCTGAGAATTTGAAAAAGGTACTGTAAAGTGTGAAGTACTTAAATAAGACAACGTTAGTAATATAGATAATAAATTACAAACAAAACTGTCAAACTTTGTAACAAACCGTTGGTAAAACTTCTGTATCTAGATACGTATCGTATCGACTAATATGATGAGATATGCACACGAAATGTGTTTGTTTGCACCCTAACTCCTCTGAGTCTGTTGAGCTAAGGGGGTCAAAATTTTACTTGACCCTATTTCTACGTTGTAAAGCCTGTTAATTAATTACAATCTCAAACAATCTTGGCAGGTTGACGCTTTAGACAATGTTAAATATTCGAAAGGGATTCAAGGTCAAAGTATGAAAGTTGCTGGATTGTTTCTCAAACAACCATGCTTTTCTCATGGTAAGTGAGATGTAGGGTATTCAAGGGTGGGATCAGGTCAGTGAGATGTAGGGTGTTCAAGGGTGGGATCAGGCCAGTGAGATGTAGGGTGTTCAAGGGTGGTATCAGGTTAATGAGATGTAGAGTGTTCAAGGGTGGAATCAGGTCAATGAGATGTAGAGTGTTCAAGGGTGGGATCAGGTCAGTGAGATGTAGAGTGTTCAAGGGTGGGATGAGGTCAATGAGATGTAGGGTGTTCAAGGGTGGGATCAGGTCAATGAGATGTAGTGTTCAAGGATGGGATCAGGTCAATGAGATGTAGGGTGTTCAAGGGTGGAATCAGGTCAATGAAATGTAGGGTGTTCAAGAATGGGATCAGGTCAGTGAGATGTAGTGTGTTCAAGGGTGGGATCAGGTCAATCAGATGTAGAGTGTTCAAGGATGGGATCAGGTCAGTGAGATGTAGGGTGTTCAAGGATGGGATCAGGTCAGTGAGATGTAGTGTGTTCAAGGATGGGATCACCTCAACATTTTTATTTGTTGGTAAGCAAACTGAAAATGTTGTTTATGAAGAAGCTTTGTTATAATTTTACAATTTTAAGATAGTTTACGTTCAAGTTTGAAATATATGATTGCTGTTAAACTTACATTGTTTTAATTAAGTTTAGACATTCCCCGTCAGTTAACGGGTATTTGAGCTTGTAAGAAATAAAGTTTAGTCACTAGGTTTTACAAACAATGATGATTTTTTTTTCAACTATGAATCATATTAGTAAATAGTAACATAAGCATATGTTTAAAAGGATCATAAATAAGGTTGAAGTGAATACTGAAAGTTATTCTTTGTTTCATTAGATATTTGATAAATTATGAAATATTCAATAATTAGAAGGCAAAAATACAGAGAATTTTAGTTTCGAAAAATAAAATAAAAACTTGAAAGTTGTGAATAGTAATCTGATCATAATCGTTTAAAGGGTAATCAAAGGAAAGGTTTTGATTTTTAGAAACAAGTTTATTTTTCAGCACCATGAAGAGTTCACAAACTTTATTTTTTTTTTCTATTTTGCGAAATTAGCAAGTTTTAAACGCATGGCTGGAAAAGGGAAAAAATATACTTTTTAAAAGTTCATATATCCGGTAAACAGATACACGAATAGTATTGTCACGCTGATACCTCACGAGCTCTATCATATAAGAAAAACAAATTGTCGTAAGACTGATGTTTCACGAGCTATACCTTTTAAAAATTGTACAAACAGTAAAGTAAGACTGATGCTTCACGACTTCTATCATATAATCAAGTACAGGGTGTCCGAAACGTCTGGAACCATCTGTGATTTGCCGCTTTCCATAATTTCAGATACGTGACTGATTATGGCGCTGTCAAAGCACGAGAAGGTTGAGTTAATCCTGCTGTTGAACAAAACAGAAATATTTGTTCCTTTCATTTTGGAATCCCAGATTTGCCTGAATACAGATTGACAAACAATGGGAACAGTTAGTCTCAGACAAGGTTGAAGTGTTTGTGACTTACATCTCAAAATATAAATACAGGCATAATCTATGACATGGAGAATGTATACATAGAAGCGTTGGTTTAGGCGATGTGTTATATTGTTATTGTATTTGGTCTTGCGAATCAATTGTACCGTTATCAGTGGTTTGACTTTTACATTTTTATTACCTACTTTGAGTTTTTGTTTATATATATTATTTATTTGCAGATGTCGGTATTATGCTAAAAAAAAGTTATAAACAGGTATCAGTAATAGCTGTCCACAAATTTTGACGAAGCACATTACACGTGATCATTCATATTTCTGTTTGAGTAGATATTAAGAACTTGTTAAGTTTTTGTCAGCTCTTGTTTTGCTCACGTTTCTGCTATTCTGTACATCTCGTAGATTATAATTTAGACATAAGATTTTACACATTATGACACTGTCTTACGTGTGTTATTTTTGTTATAGGTGAGAACAGTGCAAGGACCACAGCTCATCCGTCCGTCTGCAGAAGCTTGTTTTTCAACAGAACAAATGTGGACACGAGCACCATACCCACTGAAGAGATTTACACGTGATCTCATGTCTTGACGACGTTCTTTGCACGTGCATTTTTAGCCACTTGCGATGGTTTCTTCTGGCAGTCGTCGAACCGTTCGATTGTCGACAGCGTTATGTGTTTTCTGGCGAATTCTGGTGGTGACCAGTACCTTTAGTTGTCACCCGAAATGTAACTGTATCTGGCGGAATGGGAAACAGACAGCCGAGTGTCGTGGAGTGGGTTTCAATGCAGTACCTTCAGAGCTCGACAGTGGCGTTCAGGTTCTGAATATTTCTAGAAACAAGCTCCGCATTTTGCACCGTGACTCATTCCTTCAGGTGGGTTTGGTCAACCTGCAAAAGATTTTCTTGGCAAATTGTGGCATAGATCAGGTTAATGAATACGCTTTCAATCGACTTACTAATCTCGTGGAGCTCGACCTTAGTTACAATAGACTGACCATTGTCCCTTCTGGTAGTTTCATTCATGTCCCAAGACTTCGAGAGCTCAGACTCAATGGTAATCCTTTGTCGACACTCTCTAACTTCGCTTTTTCTTCGGCCAAATCACTAACGAATCTAGAATTAATAAACTGCCACATTCACACCATAACTGTAAAAGCTTTTGATGGCCTAGAAAATCTTGAAAAATTAAAACTCAACGACAACAACCTGGAGACCGTATCAGGTAAAGCCATGATCCCTTTGAAATCTTTACACAGTATTTCTTTGTATGACAACCCCTGGAAGTGTGATTGTGAGCTTCGTACATTTCGACAATGGTTGGACGAAAACAACATACCTTACATTTCCCCCACATGTAATCAGCCTTCACATGTCAAAGAACAGACGTGGGATTTGATTAGCATTGACAGCTTCTCTTGCCCTCCACAGTTTCTTAATACATCTAATGTGGTCAGTGTGTACGAAGGTGACAATGTTACCTTAGAATGTAGAGTCAAAGGAGACCCAAGTCCTTCTGTGAAGTGGATTTGGCGACAAAGGACTATAGCCAACTTTTCAGAAGGAATTTCATCTCAGCAAACGTTTATAGTCAGTGAATCAGGACAGAGGGAGAAACTTTCTCGTCTTAAAATTACTTTTGTTCAGGATCCAAATGCAGGAGCTTATTCTTGCATTGCTAAGAATCTCGCAGGAACACAAACGAAAAACTTCACGGTCACAGTCTCAAGGCATCCTGTTACTGAAGTCAAAGTAACTAACAGAGAAAAACCGCAGGAGGTAAAGGAGAAAAGCTCTCCTGCAGAAAGTGGAGAGGCTTTAAACAGAGGAACCACAACAGGAATGATAACCGGGATTGTCATTGGCGCTTTTTTGGTGTTACTAATATTTGCCATGTTGCTTTGGATATTACATAAAAGACGACGAAAATCAAATACTCATACGCGTGAAGATACTACTCACAAAATTGGAAACTCTGTCTGTGCACTAGAAAATAAGGAACCACAAGAAGGGGTAAATTTAAATCTTCTTGGAGCCAATCCGATAGATAGACCTTCGAGGCTAGGTGTGTACAAGGGACTACCTACTTCCGAACTGGATCCATACGATCCTTTAGAGGAAGTTATGGCTCCTCACGTGTGGGTAGTAAACGATCACAAACCATCTCCTAATCCAACGTGGGAGAGTTCTCCGAAGACAGACTCTGCTTTATCACTCCCTCCCCAGATTGAAAAGCGGCCGACTGCCCGCAGTCCCATTCCCGTCCCCATACCTGCTCCACCAAACGACCTTCACTCGCGTCTGCAAAGTGAACTAGCCGATACTTTACGTCGGAAAAGTGAGCGGAAACCATGCGAAAGAGAGCGTGGGGATGGAAGCTCCGAGTTGGAAACCACCGACTTTGAGAATACTCCAAAACAATCTCAACTACGAGACAAAGAAAACCAAAAGCAGAACCCGGATAATGGCGTACCTTTATCTCCTCTACACTTGGAAGGAAATACACCTGATTTGTTATCTCATCCCAGCCAAGTAGCAGGATTTATCCCAGTCTATGAAAACCCGTCTGCTTACTTCCGGCCGAATGATGATGTCACTTCAGACAGCAAAGGAAACAAGTTGTCTGAAGAAGGAGAGGACGGCACCGAGGTCTGAAACAACGGAAACCTCGTGATTTTTGCTTACGTGCCTCTACTTGGTGAAGAGACGGAACATGGAAAAAATTTCGTTCCAGTGATCCGGTGGCGTAGTGCTAGTGCTAACACTTGGTGACAACAGCTCAACACCGGATGGTTGAAAGGACACACAAACACGTTTTCAACACTGAGCACTTGACAGGTGTGGGTATCTTCCTCATATGTTCAGTCACTTTATTCGTCGTTACCATGTGACCTCTTCCGATGTTTCCTTTTCCCTTTTGTGTCTAAAAAAAGTAATTTCTATATAACAAAATAAGTTTAACTATCACGTATACGAACTGAATTAAAATACAGATATATATGTGTTTATGTGTAAATACACGTCAGAAATTGTTGTTTTGTTTCTAAACCAGATAGGCTTACATCAGTCTATATATCAATGTGACATTGCTGTACTCGGAGAACAATGGTCAGTTGCCACGAATCTGTACAACGTTTTGTCAAACCACGTGTTAATTTTATGTACAGTTTTTCAGGTCTTTCGCCAAATCTCACGTGCTAAAATTATTATGTTTTGTAACAAAGAACCTAACAACGGATATAAAATAAGTAAATAAAAGCTTTAACGTTGCTTTACTCGTCTAAACTGTCTAAGCTGTTTTTATTTTGTGAAAAAAAAAAGTAATAATCATATTGTTGAAGCTTATGTTTTGAATGAACTACCCGGCTTTTTTTTTCTTTCAGCTAACACTACGATTTCCATGAAGTATATAACAAATAACACTTTTTTTTCAGATACTTCCAGCTTATCACGTAAAAAAAACATAAGTAAAGTACGAATTGGTCGTCCAACAAGCACGTGATTTTACATGAATTTTGAAACATTTTGTTTAAAGAATTGAGTTAACAATTAACAATACAGTGTTAATTTATTTTTTAAAACATATTTTAATATTTCGTTACTTGAAGCATGAACTGGTAAACTGTGGGAAGTTTTTCTGTATGGTGGAACAAAATTCTAAACTTACATGAAAGTACTCTAGAGTAGGGGGGCTTACATGTGCCAACGGAAGTGAGAGAGTTAAAAACAGCAAATTAGCTTAAAGCGATAGGATCATAAAGTCTGTAAATCGGCCAAATTTCAGTGTGAAGTTAGATATTAGTTATCAACGTTGTGCGACAGTTAACAAGTTATTTTGTATTTATTAATTTGAGGATGTTTTAAAAGGTGTATTCTGATTTTGTGAGTCGTACTTTGTTCTGGTTTTCTTCTAATAATTGTCTTTATTTCAAATAAATTTTTTAACACATATTTCCAATTCTAAACTTAAGGATTTAACGACAAACAGTTTTCGTTGTTTGTTTGAATTGTAATAAACTTCTCTTTCCGGGTTAATGTCAAAAGCAGCAGGAGGAGTCCTTAAAAACAATGTCCATACCAGTAGGAAAAGTCCTTAAAAACAATGTCCATACCAGTAGGAAAAGTCCTTAAAAAACAATGTCCATACCAGTAGGAAAAGTCCTTAAGAAACAATGTACATACCAGTAGGAAAAGTCCTTAAGCAACAATGTACATAGCAATAGGACGAGTCCTTAAGCAACAATGTACATAGCAGTAGGACGAGTCCTTAAGAAACAATGTCGCCGTGAAGTAGATGAGTGTAAGATACTCCAATTTCAATCTGCCAATACCAAGGCTAAACTCTCGGTGTGTTTGACCTGAATTACAAAACAAACATCATCATCAACTAAGAGTCACCTCTATTAAACGTAACTGCACCCGATACAGTCAGGAGATTCTTATAGCTATTTATCTTAGTTCCGTTCAGCTTATGTTTCTCTGAGGCCATAATGCTGACTACAGTTTAGAATTCAGCCACTAAAGTCAAAGGTATCATCAGAAAGTGAATATCTTCGTCGTTGTAATCATGAGAGAAAATGGGGCTTTGTTGTTGTTGTTACCGTGTTATCACTGTCAAATAAAGAGCTTTGTCTGTCTGAAGACATCTAGGAAGTTCTGGTTTACGATAAACTCTGCCAAGGCTTTGATTAATATGTTCACCTCATTTTATTACATGATAACGACGAACAAAGTGAGGCCTACGTGAGGAGCATTTTCTCTTTGCACAGACGAAAAGTGCCTTCTTAATGATAAAACACACTACTTCCATGCGCTGTTCTATTTCAAAATTAAAAGTTCAGCAATGTACTTCTAAAACTGTGCAAAAAAAAAACAACATAAATTGAGTAAAAACGTAACTATGTGATCTAATACTTTATTTGAAATATCCTACTTCTTAAAAAAATCTTTATTTATGTGCCAAAAATATTCGTTAAATCACAAATGTCAAGCAAGAATACTTAAATTTGTAGCTAGAACAAACGTCACGCTCGGAATTCTGGTCATATCAATGAAATAATTGTAAATTTAAAGGTTACCTCTTGTATATCAGCAGTATATATGTTTTAAAGTGGCAGTATTATAAGTATCAACGTTTTAAAGTGGCAGTATTATAAGTATCAACGTTTTAAAGTGGCAGTATTATAAGTATTAACGTACTTATCATACTGCCACTTTAAAACGTTGATACTTATAATACTGCCACTTTAAAAAATACTTCCACTTTAAAACGTTGATACTTATCATACTGCCACTTTAAAACGTTGATACTTATCATACTTCCACTTTAAAACGTTGATACTTATAATACTGCCACTTTAAAACGTTGATACTTATAATACTGTCACTTTAAAACGTTGATACTTATACTACCACTTTAAAACGTTGATACTGCCTCTTTAAAACGTTGATACTTATAATACTGCCTCTTTAAAACGTTGATACTTATCATACTGCCTACTTTAAAACGTTGATACTTATAATACTGCCTCTTTAAAACGTTGATACTTATAATACTGCCTCTTTAAAACGTTGATACTTATAATACTGCCTCTTTAAAACGTTGATACTTATACCACTTTAAAACGTTGATACTTATAATACTGCCTCTTTAAAACGTTGATACTTATAATACTGCCTCTTTAAAACGTTGATACTTATCATACTGCCTCTTTAAAACGTTGATACTTATAGTACTGCCTCTTTAAAACGTTGATACTTATAATACTGCCACTTTAAAACGTTGATACTTATCATACTGCCACTTTAAAACGTTGATACTTATAAAAAACGTTGAGACGTATGATACTATCACTTTAAAACGTTGATACTTATCATACTGCCACTTTAAAACGTTGATACTTATAATACTGCCACTTTAAAACGTTGATACTTATAATACTACCACTTTAAAACGTTGATACTTATAATACTGCCACTTTAAAACGTTGATACTTATAATACTACCACTTTAAAACGTTGATACAAAGTGGCAGTATTATAAGTATCAACGTTTTAAAGTGGTAGTA